ATATATATATATATTTCTAGTTAGCTTTAACTTTAACTCAGTTTTAGTAATTCTGTACTTCTTAAACTTTTTTTTTTGTTAGATGCCAAGGCAACATTTCAAATTATCTTTCTTTCTTTTTTTTTTATTTTTTAAATAAAACTTATTTTATTTCAGCTTTATGATAATTACCAAAACTATTTTTAAAAGCTTTACTTTAATCAACAATAACGGCACTAGTATGTGTTAGACACGTCAAACCTGTGTTCAGTATCTCAAATCTAACTTTATTGCTTTTAAGTGAGTGTATTTCTGCTTGGTTGCAGATTTATGTGTTTGGAGGCAAAAATGAAGAACAAGATTTTAATGACTTGAAAATAATGAAGTTAATAAACCCCTCAGAGAGACAGCCAGGTAAGTAACACTCCTGTCTGACTCCTACTGTAAATACCAGTCATCTGTATTCATTTCATCTGAGTCTGATCCGTGATTGTCGTACAGTAATGAAGGAGATTTTGTCTGAGTTTGGACTGCAGGGTGTCAGTAATAGGTGGGTGTGTTTCTCTGACTAAAACACGGCTTTCGTTACCAGTTTCACATGAAAGTAACGTTCTGTTATTCAAATCATTTCCGCTTGATCAGCTTCGCCCCGACAAAGATTCCCAACGTGAAATACGAGCTGAGTCAGTCTCCAGTGACCGTGAAGAGCTACAGGAGTGAAAACATTCAGGTGACTGACATCACACACCTCCATTACAAATGGCACACACACTCCAGTGCACTACATTGATCACAAGTGACAGTAAAGACATTTATCATGTTACAAATGAAACTTCAATTCATTAAATAATCCTGAAAAACAAAATGCGTCACGGTTTCCACAAAAATATGAAGCAGCACAACTGTTTTCAACATTGATAATAATCAGAAATGTTTCTTGAGCAGCAAATCAGCATCTTAGAATGATTTCTGAAGATCATGTGACACTGAAGACCAGCGCTGGGTGGATTACTGACTGATTACAGATTACATGTTGAAAATTGTAGTTAGTAATCTAGGTTACTCATTTTAGGTCATGCATTCTGAGTACTTGTTTTAAACTTACCATTAAATGTACCGCATTGTTGTAAGAAAATATAATCCATTTTTTTATATCAACATCATTAAATGCATTACATTACTCCAGGGTTTCCCAAACTGGGTGTTAGTGAAAGAATTGCAGTGGGTTTGATTGAGTTGATAAAAAGCTAATAATTAATTCAGGTTTGGCTGAAAAAAGGGGGATCCCTGCATTACATGAGCAAACATTAATAAGCATGAAAACAGCAATGACATGATTGCACGCCCAAAGTCTTCAAAGTTACGCAGTAATGAACATTTTAAAGAGAAAAAAGAAGAATTAGAATATTTTGCTGCCATTGTGTGAATAATATGTAATCCATAAAAATAACTGTAATCTGATTATGAGCATTTTAGAATTATTTTATTTTAATTATGAGTACTTAATTTTTGGAATCTGATTACGTAATCCATATCATGTCATCAGACTGGAGTAATTATCCTGAAAATTCAGCTTTGATCACAGGAATAAATTACAGTTTAACAGATATTCACATAGAAAGCAGTTATTTTTAATTATAATAATATTTCAGAATTTTACAGTATTTTTGATCAAATAAACGCAGCCTTGGTGAGCAGAAGAGACTTCTTTCAAAAACATTCTTAAAAAATCTTACCGACCCTAAACTTTGAACAGTGGAGATTTTAGCCTTAAAGATAAATCTTTATATGTAAGGCAATATATGATTTTGTAACCAATGCATCAAACTCATGTCGCTTTCATCCAGGCGAGCGTTCATAGAGATTTCAGTGCCGTTCGTGACGAGGCCATGAACATGATCCACAAAGCTTTTGCCATGTTAGATGAGGAATTCCAGAAACTAGACAGGTAGAGGTTATGCCTTATTGTTTATTTCACGTTAACTGTCTAAAAAGACATCTTATAAAGCAAAACTGAATCTGCTCTCATCTGAAACAGAGAAAAGGAAGCACTTGCGCGGGACACAGAGGCTCTACAGAATGAGCGCGACGCTCAGAACCAGCATCTGCTGAGACAGAAACAGGTGCTGCTGGTCAAACTCATGTCATTCGATTGATTTTCTTGGATGTGTTTGCTCTTGTTCTTCACAATGACTGAAGGAAGCTTGCGGTTGTGATTGGACAGGAACTTCAGGATATGCTGGAAAGACACAGGACTCAGAACGAGGCATGGCTGCGTGCGCGAGCAGACGAGAACGACAGGGAGAGGAAGGAGCTGTGTAAACTAAGGGTGTGTGACATTCACTTCAGACAAACTGCTGTCAGATGGAGACACCAGCTTGTTTTAGCAGTTTAATCTTTGAATAACTGTTTTCATACTGTAGCATTCATTGTCTGATTGTTGTCTGTAATTAGTGACAGAATTTTTTTGTTGTTGTTGCATGAACTATTCCTTTAAATAAAATCACATATATAAAATGACATATGACATGAATTTTTATATATATATATATATATATATTTATATAAATTCATGTCATATGTATATATATGAAATATATTAGTTTTTTTCTATTTTTACAACATGTGAAAAAATAGACTGTATTGCATGTCAGTGTTATATTATTTGCATACAATTATAATATTTATTAATATTTTGAGGTTTTATTTTTAGTTTTAATTTTAGTTAAAGTTTTTAGTTAGTCATTTTTAGTTTTTTTTTTTTTTTTTTCTATTTAGCCTTATTTTATTCCAGTTTTAATCATTTTAGTACTTCAGCTTTTTATTCAACTTATTATGTTTCAGTTAGTTGGCTGAAATAAGTTCAAAATTTTCATCTAATATTTTTATTTTATTTTTCATTGTATTATTGACCATATCAAATAAAAAGTAGATAAATTAATTTAAAAAATTATGTATTTATAGTATATATTTAATTACAGTATATATTTGTAATACCGGTAATATAGATTTTTTTAAATATTTTTAATTTTCATAATATAGGGCAATTTTATGAAACATACATTTTCTGTATATAATAATATATATGTTTTTTTTTTTTATATATATATATATTAATATATATAATTTCATATTTAATTTTTTTTTTTAGAAATACACTTTTTATCTGACATCTTAATAATCTAAAAAAAAGCCTTTCTACATGAGCTGTTCACACTGAGCTCATGTTTAAAACTCTGGCAAATGTTTCATTTTGTGCGTGGAGTGAGTGATGGCTGTTTAACATTTCAACATGCCGGTCCTTATTTATTGATTGGGTGTGAATCTTCCAGGAGGAGGTGCTCCAGGAGCAGGAGAGGCTGAAAGAGGAGCAGTGCAATATCCAAAAACGCAGTGAGCAGCTCCTGTCCATTATGCAGCAGTTCAAAGGCATGTGAAGACACTGTCTCCATGGCAACCGCAGAGGGAGACGGCGTTATTATTGATGCCACTCCCTTACTGAGAGACATTTGGGTTTGTCTGTCTGATGATGATTTGGTTATTCCACCGTGTGTGTGTGTGTGTGTGTGTGTGTGTGTGTGTGTGTGTGTGTGTGTGTGTGTGTTAATGAACGTCACAATGCATTAGATGACCTCATTGCCAGAGATACCTGTAGAGCACAGGATGATTTGTGACGCATGTGAAAAGATTTTTCTGAGACATGATGAAGTAAACCGAGGTTTACCACCAAAGACCCATGTCGTTTATTTTCATGTTTCTCCACAAGCTTGTGTTTTATATCAGTTGAGAGAAACTTGAGGCCCTCGGGTCACTAAATTGAACCTTGACCTGATATCAGTTATGAAAAAATGGTAGTCCAGGATTTATAACATAATAACATTAAACTTATTTTGCCTTTGTACAATTGCATTTAATCATTTAGCAGATGCTTTTATTTAAAGAAACTTACAAAAAACAGGTAAATTTAATTACAGAAAAAAATATATTTAAAATAATTAAAATCTGTAATGAATATTCATTACAAAAAATGAATATATATATATATACACACACACACACACAAACATTTACAGTAAGTCCCAAATATATATAATTTACATTTGTATTTTTTTATATTTATTTTTATATTTTTCATTATTCTAGAAATACACTTTTCTGACCTTACAGAGTGAAACATATATAAATATAAAATAAATATATAATATCAATATGCCCTTATACAGTGAATCCAATATATATATATATATATATATACATATATGTGTGTGTCTGTGTGTGTATACATATATGTGTGTGTGTGTGTGTGTGTGTGTGTGTGTGTGTATATATATACAATTTTATGAAAATTTATTGCATAATATATAATATGCAACCCTTATATAGTCAGTCCCAAATATAAATAATTAAATTGTTTATTGTTATTATTATTATTGTACAAATACACTATCTGATGTGGTCGTCTTCATATTCTTATTTCATGCTTTTTAAGATCTCTTACAAAAGCAAAAAATAAGAAAGCCAAAATCAGACATCCCTCTGTATTTAGCTTATAATTTACAATATCTGATTTTATGAAAATTTCCATAAAATCAACAAAAGTAAATCTTAATAATAAATCTTAAAATTTTCATAAACATCTTGATACGTAATATTTCAGGATAATAATATTCAATAATATTTACCTACTTCCAGTGAATTTTTCATCTTATTTAAATGCTATATAATATCATATATTCATGCTATATACAACAGACTGCGTAGGCTATTAGGGAATTCATAAACTCAATTGTAGCCCATCAAATTACAGACTTTATTGTGGGTTTTTGAGGGGGACAGTCATGTCTCCCAACTCGGGTCGCAGTGCTTGCGCATGCGCACACATCCTCGCCCAGCCGTGCCGAAAACAGCCGAAGAAAGCCGATGGGAAACGGTCGGCGGCGCACTATTTGGCAGGAAGGCTTCGCGCATAGCGCCAGCACAGTCCGGCTGCGGAGCACTATATGGCAGCGGGGAGGGGAGGGCGAGAGCTCGGCCGCATTCGGGGCCGCCTGCGCTCATCAAACGCTGCTCATTGAACACACAGTGAGGCAGAGCTGGAGTGGAAATATTTTTTATGCCGCAATATGCGTGAATTTCTAAAATAAACCCGGGGTAAGCGAGCATCCATGCCATAAATGCCACATTTATGTATTGCACTTGAATAAAAAAGCGAAATGCGACAGGATTGAGGTCAGAGCTGCAGTGGAGGGAGTGAAGGGGGTTTTGGGGCGAGCTGTGGGGACGCTTGATCCAGACGTTTCTGTTCAAAATGTGTTTCTTGTGCTTCCTTTGTTTCTGCTGCGGGATTGTAAATAAGAGCTTGAGCCAAAATGGCGGCCGGAGCCGTTGAGCTGCGTCGAGCTAGGAGCTATTGCGCTGCGTTTAGCCTCACGCTTTTATCATTTAACGCTCTTTTATGCCTTTATCTCCCTTTTGGGTGATTTGTATGCAGTCGTAGCATTTACAATATGACACCTGGCTGCGTTGGTGGTGATTATGTAGCCTTTAATGAAGAGAGCTAGCGAGATTGAGTCAGCTAGCCAGACAGATTTGAATGTTTCTAATGACAAATTGCGATTTTGTGTACACAAAACGTTCACTTATTGCTCTTTCTGCCTTATTTTGATCGTTAAACGGCTAAATACGGTCTTTCTGCAATGCAATGCTTTCTTTAGTCCTCCATGTAGCTGGTATCTCTGTAATGCCCATTTTTCCTTCAAAAAGGATGCTTTTGTACACATGCAAGCTGTTCATGTGTGTATATTTGGTCGTTTTCACTGTAACTAGACAACTTGCAGTGCTGCTTGTCATCTTGCCTGTTAATGGCATCCCTGAAACCCAATCTGGCCAACTGATCTCACTGCGTTGTTGAGGGTTCTGGCCAATTTGAAATGTAAGGTCTTGAATTCATTAGTCTCATCTGATGCTCAGTGATCAGGTTGCATTGAGAAAGTGCTGAATTTCCATGAGGAACAACACATGAATCATTCTGGGGGTTTTGTTTGGAAGGGGGCGGCGGTTCATTTGTATTTCATGACAGTCTGCTGAAGAGTTTTGTAGGGCACCTCTGGAGGATTAATTGATCAAATAGGCTTGTAAAGGAGAGATTACAGAAGAGAAACAGCCACTGCAGTGGGATTCATTTAAGCCTTTCTTTAGCTTCTGAGTTGCTCTCTTTTTGTGGACCAACCACTCCAAACAAAGCGAAACGTGATCATATCTATGCAAACATAATGTTTGTGTATGCATATGTAATTTTGTTTTACTGGTCACTTTACATAACCATGTTGTTCTGAAACTATCGTTTTCCTTTTGTATCCGTTCCTTGGTTTCACTTGGTTATGAATACTGTTCAATAACACCATTTTTCTGCATCATTGAGCTGTAAATTCCCTCGCGTTAATTGCGTTCAGCATGGTCAGATGCTGTCATTACAGCAGCCACTGGCTAACATATGATACAGCTCAGTACTTTTGCCTCTACAGCCAAAATATATTAGATTCACATACGCTGGAAAATGCATATACAGAATTGCTCCGTCATCCATGTGCAGGTTTTAAGGCAACACCATTGAGTTCAGTTATAGCAATGATTTCGGCAGCGTTGGCGATCCATTATCATGAGTGTAGGTTTATGTCAAATATAGTTTACTTCCAGGGGAACATCTAGGCCAGACCTGGGTCTAGTTTGATCGCAGAAAATAAGAAATTATACTTGCTTATAGAAAATATAGATTTTTTGCAATTTGACATGGTTTTCAGTGCGGTTAAACACAATTTCCCCCTAGATTTTAATTTGAAAACAAATAACATATAGAGTATTTGTGCATTACGATGGCATTTGTGTTGCATTTAATTGATGTTGCATTGCAGTAAATCAGTGTAATTCAGCAAAAATACTGTCATTTAGAGCAAGAACCACCATTGAAAATAATAACAAAAATATACTTGTGTGGATGCATTTGGAAGCAATTTTATCTTAATTATCTTTATGCAAAATTCTAGAATTCTTCTATGTTGGGGTGAAATGTGTCTTTGATGTTGTTTTTGTGAGATTCACCTAATTTTATGAAAAAGACCAGCAGAAAATGAAATGAGAGTTAGTTTGAAAGGTGCATGAGGGATATTTTATATATATTGAGGACAAATACTTGGGTCAAGTGATTAAAACTTTGGCATCATCTCGCCATCTTTATCTAAAAGTAACATGGCAGGATGCCTTAAAAAAGGAGGACTGACCTTGAGTTAATGTTCCTGTCTTGTTCGTTATTTTCGTGGCAGTTACAGACTGTAAAATTGAAAATGGAAGCAGTGTTATTTGAGTCCAGCTGTGTTGGAAAATAGCAATAAATGCATGCTCTGGTGTATTTTTATGCATTTTACACATTTTGGCTAACATTGCACTAGGTCGTGTTCATGTGCAATGGACTGTTTTATAAAACATGTTACGGTTTTGATTCAGTTGGACGGTCTGGTAGAATAAATTAGTTTGCCGGCTGACGTGGTGTAAGGAAGCCCCGAGCTCCCTGCGCTAGTAGCGTACTCCAGTTGTGTTGTATAACAGCGTCTGCTTGGCTTCCTGAATAATGCAAGTCTCATGTCATGGCTCATCTGCTCTGCTTTCTTTGGTGTTTTGGGATGTCGGATGGGATGTGCATCTTTTATTGAATGCCGATTTGCAAAGCATAAACCTTCACGTGGGGTTGAAATTTCACTGTTTACCATGTTTTTTACATTTCAGGATTCACCTTTTCTAGTTTTAAGTTATCGTCTGAAATATATTTCACTTTAAGGAGTAGTTCATCCAAAAATGAACATTCGGTCATTGTTTACTCTCCTTCATGTCGTTCCAAACCTGAATGACTTCCTTTGTTCTGTGGATCATAAAAGAAGATATTTTGAAAAATGTTGGCAACCAAATGGTTTCGGCTTCCATTGACTTGCATTACATGGATGAAGAATACATTGGGAACTAAAATGGCTTTTTACCAACATTCTTCGTTAAGTTTGTTCTCAACTACAAAGCGCTTTGAAAAACCACATGTAATTTGACTCTTGTGGCTCATTAACATGAAGGATCTTCAGTCTAATTGAATGGATAATTAAAGTGCGACTATTTGTGTCTTGTAAACGTTTAAGGCAAGACGCCACAGGTTAATAGAAATGGAAAATAAAAATTAACTCCCTACTTGCATTAAGAATTGCAAACAATTTTGTATTACAAGTTTTCTGAAATGTTATGTATAAATTTGCAAACAAGGCATTATACCTTATATTTGAATGAATCTGAACATTGCATAAAGCTAGGTTCAAAATTCTTGTTTGATTTTGTTGACTCAGAGTTTAAGGTTTTTACGGAGGGGATTTTAGATTTCTCTTTTCATCACTGCTTAAATCAGAAAATACTGTCAACAGCCAGATACATATACAATTTCACAATGTGTTAATAAAATGTTGTATAAATCAGTGTGAATGATATATGTGACCTTTTCAAATAGTTGTATCTCGGCCAAATATTGTTCTATCCTAACAAACCATACATCAATGGAACGCTTATTTATTCAGCTTTCAAATGTTGTATAAATCTCAATTTCGAAAAATTGCCCCTTATGACTGGATTTGTGGTCCAGGGTCACATGAACAAACAACTCTATAAAAACCTTCAGAATATAGATATGAATAAAACTCAATTTTGGTGTATGTAAGTGCTGCTGAAGTGGAGAAAGTGTGTTTTTGGATGTTTTTATCTCAAAATTGACCAGTGCATGAAAAATGCCTTAAAGGGACAGTTCACCTAAAAATGAAAATTGCTGTCATTTACTCACCTTCAAGTTATTCCAATGTAGACGTTTCTTTGTTTTTTTGAACATAAAGATGTTTTGAAGAACGTTAAGCCTCGTTCAGACTGTCAGCCCAAATACGATTTTGTGCATATCCGGATGGAATCTGATTTGAATAACTGACTGTCCACACAGTGTATTGCAACTGTTCATATCCGATTTGTGTGTCCATAAGCGCCCTTTCGTTTTACGGAGTGTGCGATGGTTTCTATGGCAATGCCGTTGCGTTGTTATGCCAATGCTAAAAACAACAATAACAGCAATACAATTAGCAATACAGATGTTGTCTTACATTACTTATTATTATTATTATGGATTTTGTCTTATGAGGCAGCGGCAGAAAGTTGGAATGAGCGTCTTTATTCCGTGCTGCCGTCTCTGCTGGTTTCAAAACTCAAAGAGGTGCGTATACTAGCAGTATATTGTCTTTTTCCGCTTGACAACACCAGCATGTTTCTGCAAAGACATTCATTGTTTTCTACAAAAACGTCTGACGTTTTTACGTTTTAGATGGCGTGAAATCGTTTTATGGAACGTGCGTTGGTTTCTATGGCAATTCCGTTGCGTTGTTATGCCAATGCTAAAAACAACAATAACAGCAATACAATTAGCAATACAGATGTTGTCTTACATTACTTATTATTATTATTATGGATTTTGTCTTATGAGGCAGCGGCAGAAAGTTGGAATGAGCGTCTTTATTCCGTGCTGCCGTCTCTGCTGGTTTCAAAACTCAAAGAGGTGCGTATACTAGCAGTATATTGTCTTTTTCCGCTTGACAACACCAGCATGTTTCTGCAAAGACATTCATTGTTTTCTACAAAAACGTCTGACGTTTTTACGTTTTAGATGGCGTGAAAAAGCTAGGCTAAATCCGATCTGAGCGGTATGACTGAATCAGATTTCCAGGAATGCGATTTGAAACCACATACGAATGTAGCTCGAAACGGATTTGCAAAAATCGGATTAACTTAATTTTTGATTAGTAATATGCATTTCTAAGAACTTCATTTGGACAACTTTAAAGATGATTTTCTCAATATTTAGATGTTTTTGCACCCTCAGGTTCCAGATTTTCAAATAGTTGTATCTCGGCCAAATATTGTTCTATCCTAACAAACCATACATCAATGGAACGCTTATTTATTCAGCTTTCAAATGTTGTATAAATCTCAATTTCGAAAAATTGCCCCTTATGACTGGATTTGTGGTCCAGGGTCACATGAACAAACAACTCTATAAAAACCTTCAGAATATAGATATGAATAAAACTCAATTTTGGTGTATGTAAGTGCTGCTGAAGTGGAGAAAGTGTGTTTTTGGATGTTTTTATCTCAAAATTGACCAGTGCATGAAAAATGCCTTAAAGGGACAGTTCACCTAAAAATGAAAATTGCTGTCATTTACTCACCTTCAAGTTATTCCAATGTAGACGTTTCTTTGTTTTTTTGAACATAAAGATGTTTTGAAGAACGTTAAGCCTCGTTCAGACTGTCAGCCCAAATCCGATTTTGTGCATATCCGGATGGAATCTGATTTGAATAACTGACTGTCCACACAGTGTATTGCAACTGTTCATATCCGATTTGTGTGTCCATAAGCGCCCTTTCGTTTTACGGAGTGTGCGATGGTTTCTATGGCAATGCCGTTGCGTTGTTATGCCAATGCTAAAAACAACAATAACAGCAATACAATTAGCAATACAGATGTTGTCTTACATTACTTATTATTATTATTATGGATTTTGTCTTATGAGGCAGCGGCAGAAAGTTGGAATGAGCGTCTTTATTCCGTGCTGCCGTCTCTGCTGGTTTCAAAACTCAAAGAGGTGCGTATACTAGCAGTATATTGTCTTTTTCCGCTTGACAACACCAGCATGTTTCTGCAAAGACATTCATTGTTTTCTACAAAAACGTCTGACGTTTTTACGTTTTAGATGGCGTGAAAAAGCTAGGCTAAATCCGATCTGAGCGGTATGACTGAATCAGATTTCCAGGAATGCGATTTGAAACCACATACGAATGTAGCTCGAAACGGATTTGCAAAAATCGGATTTCATGTAGTTTGTTGACTAAATATGATTGGATTTCAATCGGATTTGCACAAAAATCGGATTTGGGCTGACAGTCTGAACGAGGCTTTAGTAACCAAACAGTTGCTGGTCCCCAATGACTCCCATAGTATGGAAAAAAATACTGTTGAAGTCAATGGCTACCGGCAAATGTTTGGTTACCAACCTTCTTTTTTATGTGTGTGTTCAACATAAAGAAATGCATAGAGGTTTGGAACAACTTGAGGGTGAGTAAATGATGACACAATTAACATTTTTGGGTGAGCTATCCATTTAATGTCAACATAATCACATTTGAAATTTGACCCCATTTTCCATGTTTTTTTTATGTTTTAGGCTTTTATTTTCATGATAGTCAGAGTGTTATAATTAAATATTTCACTTAAGCTTCATGAAGTTGTTCTCCTGAGCTGTAAATCACATGTAATTTGGCTCATTAAGGTGGAGCTTCTTCACTCCCATTCAATTCAAATGTGTCCGTTTGCATTCCCAGAGCGTTTCCTAATCCTAAGCCGATGTTCTTGTATTTTTTAGGTTGCTGGAGCCCTTCTGAAGGAGGTCTGGATCAGTACTCATTCGCGCGGGCCCTGAGAGGCCGACCCGTCAGACGGGCATCGGGCGAGCACGTTACATGCCAGCGTTTTTGGTTTTATTTGGACTGCCCCCTTTAGGTTGAATCCCCTCTCCCCCGATACTCTTTCATTCATCAGAAAGAGTGAGTTTTGACCCTAGTGCGGCAGCCGGGCTGCTCCCCCACACACAGATGAATGAAGACCCCATTCGGGAAGAACGCGGCCCAGAGATCCAGAGCTGATGCAGGTCAGAGCGGCGCTTTGATTTCTGATGAGCCTTCTGGAGATCATCGTCTCTTTAATATTAACCGTGTTTGCTGTCTGTGTGATTGAAGGGCATGCTGGTGTCTCTGCAAATATGATGAAGAAAAAGAACTCTCATAAGTAAGTTTGTATTTGCTTGCGTTTTAGGGCTGAATGGGCAAATTCTAGTTATTGTTTTACATATTATATAAATATTTTTTAAATGTTTATAGCATTTATGAATGTAATAATTATTTTTCCTTTTCTTTTAGTGCTGAATGTGTGAATTATATTAATGTTTTTAAAATGCTAAACCCATTGATCATAAATACAATGGTGTATGTAAGTGCTGCTGAAGTGGAGAAAGTGTGTTTTTGGATGTTTTTATCTCAAAATTGACCAGTGCATGAAAAATGCCTTAAAGGGACAGTTCACCTAAAAATGAAAATTGCTGTCATTTACTCACCTTCAAGTTATTCCAATGTAGACGTTTCTTTGTTTTTTTGAACATAAAGATGTTTTGAAGAACGTTAAGCCTCGTTCAGACTGTCAGCCCAAATCCGATTTTGTGCATATCCGGATGGAATCTGATTTGAATAACTGACTGTCCACACAGTGTATTGCAACTGTTCATATCCGATTTGTGTGTCCATAAGCGCCCTTTCGTTTTACGGAGTGTGCGATGGTTTCTATGGCAATGCCGTTGCGTTGTTATGCCAATGCTAAAAACAACAATAACAGCAATACAATTAGCAATACAGATGTTGTCTTACATTACTTATTATTATTATTATGGATTTTGTCTTATGAGGCAGCGGCAGAAAGTTGGAATGAGCGTCTTTATTCCGTGCTGCCGTCTCTGCTGGTTTCAAAACTCAAAGAGGTGCGTATACTAGCAGTATATTGTCTTTTTCCGCTTGACAACACCAGCATGTTTCTGCAAAGACATTCATTGTTTTCTACAAAAACGTCTGACGTTTTTACGTTTTAGATGGCGTGAAAAAGCTAGGCTAAATCCGATCTGAGCGGTATGACTGAATCAGATTTCCAGGAATGCGATTTGAAACCACATACGAATGTAGCTCGAAACGGATTTGCAAAAATCGGATTTCATGTAGTTTGTTGACTAAATATGATTGGATTTCAATCGGATTTGCACAAAAATCGGATTTGGGCTGACAGTCTGAACGAGGCTTTAGTAACCAAACAGTTGCTGGTCCCCAATGACTCCCATAGTATGGAAAAAAATACTGTTGAAGTCAATGGCTACCGGCAAATGTTTGGTTACCAACCTTCTTTTTTATGTGTGTGTTCAACATAAAGAAATGCATAGAGGTTTGGAACAACTTGAGGGTGAGTAAATGATGACACAATTAACATTTTTGGGTGAGCTATCCATTTAATGTCAACATAATCACATTTGAAATTTGACCCCATTTTCCATGTTTTTTTTATGTTTTAGGATTTTATTTTCATGATAGTCAGAGTGTTATAATTAAATATTTCACTTAAGCTTCATGAAGTTGTTCTCCTGAGCTGTAAATCACATGTAATTTGGCTCATTAAGGTGGAGCTTCTTCACTCCCATTCAATTCAAATGTGTCCGTTTGCATTCCCAGAGCGTTTCCTAATCCTAAGCCGATGTTCTTGTATTTTTTAGGTTGCTGGAGCCCTTCTGAAGGAGGTCTGGATCAGTACTCATTCGCGCGGGCCCTGAGAGGCCGACCCGTCAGACGGGCATCGGGCGAGCACGTTACATGCCAGCGTTTTTGGTTTTATTTGGACTGCCCCCTTTAGGTTGAATCCCCTCTCCCCCGATACTCTTTCATTCATCAGAAAGAGTGAGTTTTGACCCTAGTGCGGCAGCCGGGCTGCTCCCCCACACACAGATGAATGAAGACCCCATTCGGGAAGAACGCGGCCCAGAGATCCAGAGCTGATGCAGGTCAGAGCGGCGCTTTGATTTCTGATGAGCCTTCTGGAGATCATCGTCTCTTTAATATTAACCGTGTTTGCTGTCTGTGTGATTGAAGGGCATGCTGGTGTCTCTGCAAATATGATGAAGAAAAAGAACTCTCATAAGTAAGTTTGTATTTGCTTGCGTTTTAGGGCTGAATGGGCAAATTCTAGTTATTGTTTTACATATTATATAAATATTTTTTAAATGTTTATAGCATTTATGAATGTAATAATTATTTTTCCTTTTCTTTTAGTGCTGAATGTGTGAATTATATTAATGTTTTTAAAATGCTAAACCCATTGATCATAAATACAATATTTATGTATTTAATAATTATAATTTGTGGAGTTAAATATTTTGTAAACATTTTTTGGCTTGTATTTTAGGGCTGAATGTGTGGATATTAATTTATTTATTATTATATCACATTGTTAATATTTTACAAATTTTATAAATATTTTATTGTTTAGTTCATATTGATTGTAATAAATATTTATGTATTTAATACTTATCATTATCAGAGTTAAATATTAGGTAAAGCATCATTTTTAATTGATCTGAGGCTGAATATATAAATATGAATTCTATCAAAGTTTTATATTGACTTTTTTAAAAATGTTTAGTTCATATTTTAAATTAAAAAATATAATTTTTTTTTTGTTTATCATTATCAGAGTTAAATATCAGGTGAAGTATATGTTTGTATTTGTGTAGTAGGATTGAACACTTGAATATGATAAATTACATTATATTATATTAATATTTTAAACATTTAATTCATATTGATCATAATAAATATTTATGTATTTAATAATCACTTTCAGAGGGAAATATTAGGTAAAGCGTTTTTTATTTGCTTGTGTTTTAAGGCTGAATGTATAAATGTGAATTATTACATTATATTTACATTTCTAAAATGTTTAGTGCTTATTGATCAAAATAAATAACATTTCTGAATTTAATACATTTCTATCAATATCATAGTTAAATATTAGTTGAAGTATATTTTTGTATTGTGTATTAGGATTGAACACTTGAATATGAATTTTATTATTACATTATAATATATCAATATTTTAATGTTTAGTTCATATCGATTGAAATAATTATTAGGTGAAAAAAATTTTATTTGCTTGTTTGAGGGCTGAATCTTTAAATATGTATTTAATTATTATATACCATTTTATAATTTTAATATTTTTAAAAAAGTTTAGCTCATATTGATCATAATAAATACATCATTTACGAGCACAGAACACTGTTTAGAGTCCCAGCCTCAGAGGAGACAACAGAGCAGTGGATTTATTGATTTATTTAAAACCCATGATTTCAGCACGATAATCATAACCAAAACAGATGTTTTTAGCAGGTACGAGCTGTGGGGGCGGGGAGCAGCAGCTCATTTGCATTTAAAGAAACAGGCCCGAAAAACAGCCTGTTTCTGCTTCCACTCAAAATAGGCATTTTCAAAATGATATAATAAATGATCTGTGGAGTATTTTGAGCTGAAACTTCACAGACACATTCTGGGGACACCAGAGACTTATATTACATATTGTAAAAAGGGGCATAATATGTCTCCTTTAAATGTTGCACTCATGTTGCTCAAATACAGTGCGTGCATACTTATTACGCAAGTTGATATTCTGATCATATTTTATTTCCAAGCACATTTTACCAATTCCAAACCACATCAATCTTAATAACTACTATTCATTTTGTCTTTAATCATTTATAAGTGATATATAATTTTCTATGAAGTATGGAAGTGAAAAACGCCTTATGCACAGATGTGCATAATTATTAGGCAGGTTTTCTTTTACAGATAAAATGAGCCAAAAAAGAGATTTAACTCGGACTGAAAAGTCAAAAATTATTAAATGGATGCAATACCAGAAATTGCAAAGTTAAGGCATGACCATTGAAGAGTAAAAATGCTCACTGGGTCAGAAAAAACTGCTGGAGAAGAAAAGACACATTAACTGCAAAAGAATTAAGGTGGGGAATTAGATGTGAAACCATCAGGAACCCTTTAGTCTCCAGTTCCACCATTTTCCAGAACGGCAACCTACCTGGAGTCTCCAGAAGTGCAAGGTGTCAGGTTCTCAGAGACTTCGGTTAGGTAAAGAATCCTAAAAAAATGACCCCTGCTTAATAAGAATAGCATGCTGAAGTGTTGTGAAATACATGAAGACTGATTTTTATAGGCTTTTATAGAGTGACTCTTGAAGGACCAGCAGCACATCCTCTTGTACCACTCTTTCAAGAATTTATCATCAGGAATCTGGCAGTAAATTCTGGAAGGTCCGTCTCGAAAAGACAGACTTTTCAGGATAGGAGATGGACTAAAAATGAGCTCCCTAACTATTATTGGTCCCAGATTTGCTGCCGTGGATGATGTTTCCGGTCCTGCCACTCACACTCGTGTTTTCCCGTGTGTCTTTCAGCCTCAACGCGCATCAGCGACGCTCACCTGGCCGACACCATGATCGGCAAAGCCGTGGAGCACATGTTCGAGACGGAGGACGGCACTAAGAACGAGTGGAGGGGAATGGTTCTGGCCCGGGCGCCCATCATGAACACGTGGTTCTACATCACGTACGAGAAAGACCCGGTGCTCTACATGTATCAGCTGCTCGATGACTATAAAGACGGAGATCTGAGGATCATGCCAGACTCTAGTGAGTGTCTTCCGTGATCGTGTTCAATCTGTGTGTTCGAATGCTCACTGCTCTTTACCTTTGACTAGTTGAAAATCTCAAGGCCAATATTGGTCTTGTTCAGCAAGGACGCATTATATTAATCAAAAGTGACAGTAAAGACATTTATAATGTTACAGGAGATTTCTATTTCAAATAAATTTAGCTCTTTTGAAATTTCTATTTATCAATGAATCGTGAAAAATAAAATGTATCACCGTTTCTACAAAAATATTGTGCAGCTGTGCAACTGTTTTCAACGTTGATAATAATCAGAAATGTTTCTTGAGCAGCAAATCAGCATATTATACTGATTTCTGAAGATCATGTGACACTGAAGACTGGAGTAATGATGCTGAAAATTCAGCTTTGATCATAGAAATAAATTACATTTTAACAGATATTCACATAGAAAACAGTTATTTCAAATTTTAATATTTCACAATTTTACAGTTTTTACTGTAATATTGTGTTTTTATTTTTGATCAAATAAATATAGACTTGGTGAGCAGAAGAGACATTCAAAAACGTCTCATCAAAAAAGTCTTACCAACCCCAAACTTTTATGTGCACAAATTTTTGTAGTAATACTGTACTTAAACAAAATAAAATACATATATGTGTGTGTGTGTGTATGTGTATGTGTATGTGTGTGTGTGTGTGTGTGTGT